GTATAGAGATAGAGATATTCTGTACAGCCCAGGAATGGTTGGCCTTCTCTCGAAGAGCCTGATGTATACCCTTTTGCTGTATGGATACCCCCCTTGGAAAAGTTCCTCTTATCAGACATTTGCCTATTTTCACCCCCATGAGACCATGGCTTGCAACCTCCAGGCCCAACCAATGCAATGTCCAGGTAGTCTGATGGCCAGGTCCGCACTAATCCGATGGCTAGGTTTACACGGACTACCAATAGCTCACCCTGTCCATCGCAGGAATCCCGTACGTCAGGCTCGGAGCCAGCGGAGTTGTTGTCGGGGTAAAGAGGAAGACTCAGGAAGGGGGTATTGTTGGTGTTGGGGATGAGTGGGGAAGAGGACGACGCAGGAAGGGGGTATTGATATGTCAAGGCCGAAAGGGAGGGTAGTTGCGAAATTTGCAGGGGCGTGTAGGGGACTGAGCAACGAAGGGTGGTCGGCAGCAGGCACTGTCGATCGCGCCCGCGCGCTTCTCCAATGCCCCACCCTGGCCACGCCTGCCTGCGCGGCGGGTTCCGTTGGTATGAAAGTTGCCAACGCGAACCGATGGTTTGCCACGCCTGCCTGCGCAATTGGCGGGGAAAGCGCGGGCAATTAGCGGGGGAAGCGCGGGCAATTAATCAATCATCACGCGCGGTGTGCACGGAGGCTCCGGTGTGACTGGCGGGCCGTTGCTGCACTCGCGCACCCGCGCGCACTGCAGACTAGCAACCTCTGTCTCATCTGTTGGAAGGATACGGACACACACTTTCAATATAAGCTTTTGGTTGGCCACGTGGCGGTCCTTCGTCAGCCCACGTGGGTCCAGTCGCCTGGAAGTTCAGACTAATGGAGCTTTTTGTTGGCCACGTGGCGGTCTCTCATCAGCCCACGTGGGTGTAATGGACAATCCGGAGAGGGGCTATTCCTAGCCGCAGGTGCAAGCCTTGACACTGTGGTTGATGTCACTACACACAAGGGTTCCTCTGGTGTGTATTGCGCGCCGAGTCGACTTGCCAGTGGTCTTCATCGGCAGCCGCTTATAGTCACACGGTGGCATTAATCATCAATCAGGTTTTCTACAGATTACCCTCCTCCTGCTCCTCGTCGTTGTCATGTCTTCTCTCTCTGGCCTGCTGCTTCTCCTCCGGCTCATATCACAACTCTCCCTCGCATCATCTCATATCTTCATCGTTCTTGTGTTCTTTTAATCCTCGACTTGAGTGTGTGTATTTCTCACAGAGGGATCGATCAACGGTCAGGGACCTACTAGCAGCGTCGAGTTTCCTCAACCGCACATCTCCACAAGCACGTAAAGATTCAGGCGTTGAGGAAAGTCAATGCTGCCACTTACTCCTCTTCATCCTTAACAAGATCCCCTCGTCTCCATTCCTTCATCACCTACCTTCAGCATCTATATCCACCTTCAACATCCATTGTACTCATCTGTGCGGCGTTTCTCCCCTCCCTCTGTGCGGCGTTTCTCCCCTCCCTCTGCGCGGCGTTTCTCCCCTCCCCTCCCTCTCCCCTTCTTCTCTTCCGTCTCTCTTTCTCCTCGTCTTGTGCCCTATCATATTTTCTGGGTAAAATTCCTTTCCCCTCCCCTCCCCGTCCCCCTTCCCCTCCCCCCTCCTCCTTCCCCTCCCCCTCCCCCTACCCCTTCCCCTCCCTTAGCTTCCTTCGCTCTTTTCTTCGTCCGTCCCCTCGTCTGCAGTTCTCCCCCAGTCTCGCCATACTCCAGTCTTCTGCTCTTGCACCTTTTTTTCCTCTTTTTTTTTGAAATTCTCTCACCCTCCTCCTCCTCTCTTCTTGCCATTCATTCTTTTCTCTCTTCTCCCTCTCCT